TTTCTCAATAAACCAATTTTAATGGTGAATAACTGGTTTCTTTTTGTTTCAGACCGACAGTAAGTATAGGAAAAAACATGGTATATGTGGAGTTTGCACTGTGATTTCAGGTAGCCATTGAAAGTCTTGGTATGTGTCTCTGGAGGAAAAGTGAATGAAATAGGAAACCTGTGGCACCCAGAGTTCATGGGGCATGCCTGGCCTGGCTGAGGTCCCAGTGCAAGCCAGGGGGCATGGTGGCTTGGCTGAGGTCCAGCTGCCTCAGCATGCTGCCTGTGGGCAGTCCCCAGGAAGCTCCAACAGCAGTGATGGCAGCAGCAGCAGTTTCCTTGCCCTTCTATCATCAGTGTGAGCAGCTCTACTAGGAGTGCAGTGGCAATGCTTACCCCAGTCTAGCACAGTCTCAGCAGGAATGGCAGGCTTCCAGTGGCTGCCCACTTGGTAGCTGCTGAGACCCGTGTCCTGGTGCTGCTGCAAGGCCCCCTGCATTGGTATACCTTGCCCCACTGAAGGCCACCAGTTACACCAAGCCTCAGACCCACTGAGACCAGCTCCAGCCTCAGCTCCCAGGAGCATAACATTTCAAGCCCAAAGAGTACATGTTGGGTCTGGCAGGCTCCCAAGGTTTCCCTTTAAAATATGGGGCTTCCCTGGTGGCGCAGGAGTTAAAGTCTCAGCACCATCAAGCTATCGCCAGCCACTGCAGCATGAGTTCAATCCCCAGCCAGGGAGCTAACCCACATAGTGCAGACCTCTACTGTTTCACCCACTGCTTCCCCCAGCAGCGTATTTTAGTAGATCTGCCTGTTTTGCTCCCCACTCTGTCTCTCACCACCCCCGCCATGAACCTGGGGCAACTTTTGGCCTAGACCCCAATTCTTGTATGCATGAATAAATAAATCTTAAAAAAAAAATGAAATATGGTGCCAGGATTGTAAATGGACAAATGAGGTTTGGGTTCTCCAAGTCTAGTCAAGTCTTTGAGTTCATTAAGAGATTGAAAATGGGGCAAGCTTACTGGTGCTTAATCAGCACCAATCAAAGAGTTAGAATTTTTTTTTTTTTTTTTTTTTTTTTTTGTGAGTGTGGGTAGAAGAACTGGGATTTAGACCAAAGGTGTGGGGGTGGTAAGAGGACACCAGAAACAGAGTGGGGAGCGGAACAAGCAGATCTATTTAAATACACTGCTAAGGTGAGTACATGGTGAGCAGGAGAGGTCTGCTGTGCCACATGTGAGCCAGGGATAGAACTCAGGCATTAGGGGTGAGAGCACTGAATCTTGATCTAGAGGCCACCAGGGAGGCCCCAAAGAGTTAGGATTGAAAACAGTTCAATCAGGCTTGTTAGGTGGGAACCCTGAAGAGGATATAAGCCAGAGCAGGAATCAGCTTCTTTGGTTTTGCAGAGGACTTCAAAAGAGGATCCAGCAGAAGACTTCTATCAGGACTTTGATTACTCCCAGCATCCCATCCAGGACACCACATTTCATGTACCGCTTTTCCTGTGACAGTTTCTTCTTCTTTCCTTATCCTTCATGACCTTTATAGTGTTGAGAAGTACTGGAGTGTTTTATGGAACAGCCCTTCATTGGAATTTGCCTTACATTTTTCTGGTTAGGGTAGGGCTATGCAATTTTGGAGTCCCCATAGGAAAAGTGCTATTTTCATTGCATCATTGTAGTGTAAATGGTTTTCTAGCTTTTCTGCCCAGCGGCCATTAGGATTGCCCTGCCTGATGGGGTACCTGAAGTTGTTACATTGTTGCAAGCTATCTTACTTACTTCTGTGGGCCATGGGCTGGGCTTGAGAGAGTCACCAAGAGAAGCAGAAGCAGGGGAAAAGGTAGGATAGAGAAGGGGAGGAAGAAGGACCAAGAAGTCCAAAGTGAAGACTTGCCAATAGGCCTCCAGGCCCCCTGGCACCCCTGCCTGCCGTGTACCTGGTGCTGCACTACATGTAACAGCTCAATAAAAGCCTGAGAAAGCCACCGAGGGCTCCAGGACTCTCTTTTACCCGTCTGCCAGATCACAGAAAACCTGCTATGTCCCTGTCCTGCCACTACAATCATATCAAGGGTAAATACTGTGAACATGACTTATCATTGCTGAGCTAACCTTGATAACATGGTTGAGGAGTATCAGTCAGGTTTCTGCACTAAAAACTTGATATAGGGCAGCAAGGGGCACTAAAATTGGCCAAGGACAGTGCCCAGATAATTTACTGGTCACTGTATGAGTTCTTTACCTGTGTGTACAATTCCAAGATTGTTCAGGCTCAGAGAACAACAACAAAGGGATTTACTTAACAAACCTGGGAAAACAGATTTACTGAGGCCAATAATGGCCATTTACCTCACCCAAAGCTGTGTCCAGTGTTTCTCAGTCCGGGACAAAAGCAGTTAAAATGGCATCTTTCTGGGGCCTCCCTGGTGGCGCAAGTGGTTAAGCACTGCACTATGAAGCGATTCGCAGCCTCTGCAGCATGAGTTCGATCCCTGGCCAGCCAGGGAGCAACCCACATGGTGCAGCAGACCTCTCCTGCCTTGCCCGCTGCTCCCCTCAGCAGTCTATTTCAGTTGGTCTGCCTGTTCTGTTCCCCACTTTGTCTCTGGTGAATCCTCTCACCCCCCACACCTCTGGCCAGTGCCCCAGCTCTTGTATGCATAAATAAATAAATCTTTTTTAAAAAAATGAAGTCTTTCTGCCACTGAGGACGCAGAACTCCTCTTCCAAATAATAGGCTACATGTCTAAGATGGCGTCTTCCTGCCACTGCGGACACACAGCAGCCAGACTATAGGCCAGGTTCCCACTCACGAAGACTATAGAAGACACAACAGGAGATGCTCCCGGAGCTGCCAAGATATACCAGCACGGCAGCTGGGGAACAAATCGGTGCTCAACCGCTATGCCACCAGGGGAGGCCCTGGGTCTTTGCTTTTTCTGCCAGGCTGCAACAGCAGCAAAATCGGGAACAGTTTCAGTTGCTTGGTTACTGCAAAGCCTTTGAGCTCTTCCTCTCTGCTAAAAGCCTGCTAAAAGCCTCCACCTTCAGAGGCCCACAAAAGCCTTCTGGAAGATCGGCGTAGTGGGGGCCTTTAGGAGAAATGGCAGGCTTTTCTGTCCTCCCGTCATTAGGATTGATGATGGATTCTTGTGGCCCTGAATGCATTCCTGATGGCGGGCACCTGGAGTGGGGTGTGGGCATATGTAGATGGATTACCTGGGCTGAGATGGGTCTTATAAGGGCAGCGTCTCGGAACAGAACCACCAGAACAAGAACAAGCGAGAGAGTGTGAGAAAATATATTATTGAGCAAATGAAATAATAAAGATTCCAGCAGAACTTCCAGCCCAGATGCAATGAACACTCCAATGTAGACATCATCAACAAGTTTGCTTACTTTACAGCTCCTTCCCTGTCAAGATTCTTGGCCAGCGCCTCAGCACCCTTATCTACAAGGTTGGGCAGCTGACCAAGCTGATTCTCTCTCCAAGGCCATCCCCGAATGCCTGCATCTTTCCCCCCTTTTTTGCCCCCCTTGTCTGGGGACTTTGCTGCATATGGCTGTGCCTGCTGGAAAACGGAGACAGTTGTGTATAAAAGATGTTCTTGGTCTTTAAATGAGTGCTCAGACCTTGCGGGGCTCCCCAGGTCTGGGACCTCATGAATGAGTAATAAAGCTTCTCCTGACCTCACCATTCCTGAAGTACTGCTTGCTCTTCCTCTGCCTGGGGAAAAGGCTAGAATTCAATTCTACAACAAGAGTAGGATGAAAAGAAGGAAAGAGAAGCAGAAGATAAAGAAGGAGACCACGAGAGAACACTGAAGAGCCCAAGAAGAGTGAAGATTCGCAGGAGGCTGGGAGGCCTGCCAGCCCCTGGACCGCAGTACCCCTGCCTGCCGTGTACCTGGTAAAACCCCAATAAAATCCTGAAGAGCCACCATGGGCTCCAGGACTCTCCTCCTGTCTGCATAAGATCATGGAGAGCCTGCTCTTTACCATCCTGCCACTACAGGGTCCAAATCCACTGACTCCTCATACTGAATCCAGAAATGCTGAGTTCTGCAGACTGAATGCCTGTGTGCCCCTTCTGCCTCACTTAGATCACATATTTGTAGCCCCAGCCCACTTTCTAGCATTTTCCCTGGTGCTATCTATCCTCACCAGCAGCCCCCTTCAGGGGGCACCACCCGAAGAGCTTCGACAACCACCACCAATGCTTATAAGCTTACGTTTCCCTCTTTCCACAGCTGCTCTGGGGCGAAGGACTATGTACAGCTCACACTCAGGGATGCAAGGGTGAAAATTAATATCTCCTCTGGATGCGGTGTGACGGGCCTGAAAAGTTAGAAATTACATGCCTTCTTTGTTTAAACAATTATGTTCTTTCTGTGTATTTAACTTAAGCATATGCACAGTGGCTATAAACTCCAAGGTTTGGGTCCCCTGGAGAAGTGTTTTGGTCTAGTGAGCCCCCACCTTGGCTCTGAATAACGTCTTGAACACGGTTCCCTTTTATTAAACGTTGAATTCACTTCCAAGCAGTGATTATTTCAGATGGTAAGTTACATCCTAGTACTAGGACTTTGTAATTTTTTGCTCAAAGTGAGTGCCTGTGTCTGCGCACTTGTTCCGGCCTAGGATTTCCGCCCACCCCACCCGGTCCAGGACCGGCTTCCCAAGCCCCACAGGCGCCCGCGCTGCCGCTAGGACGCGGGGTCGGCCCGGGGCTCCCGCTTGGAGGGGTTCCCGCGCAGGGCCCGCAGGTCGGCTCCTGCCGGCCTGCAAATCCCTCGCGGGGCCCCGCGACGAGGACTTTCACGCCCGCCCCGCCCCGCCCCTCCCCGCCCCTCCCCGCCCCTCCTCTCCCCTCCCCTCCCGGCAGCCCCGCCCCGCCCGGCGGCCCCGCCCCTCCCGGCAGCCCCGCCCCTCCCGGCAGCCCCGCCCCGCCCCGCCCCTCCCGGCAGCCCCGCCCCTCCCGGCAGCCCCCGCGCGGCACGTGACCGGGCGGCTTCTGGGACGGGCGGAGGCGGTGGAGCTGGGCGCCTAGCTGCGTCCTCGCGCCACCCCGTTGGGTCTTGGGGGTGCTGCGGCGGCTTGTTTTCGCAGGTGACTGTCCCCTTCCGGTGGGGGTGACCCTAGATCCTCCCGGCCAGCCCTGTCCCCCACTCCCCGCGCGTCCCTGCCTCCCCCCCGCTGACCCCCATGCGCCGGTTCCTCCGAGACCCCGCGGACCCCGCCCTCCGCGGGCGCCGCAGCCCCGGCGCCCTCCCTCCGGGCCGCCCCTGCGGGGTGCGCCGGCGGGGGTCTCTTGGGGGCCTCGGGGCCCCGCCTGCGTCCTGCCGCCCGGGCCTGGGCTCTTCTCGGTCCTTCTCCGCCCGGGCCCGGAGTTTAGCTCCCTGCGGCCTTGGCTGGGGGGCACGGGGGTGGGGGCTGTCGTCTCAGCCACCCCTGCTGCTCGGAGCCCCTTGTTTCAGGCGCTTCAGGTGCCTTTGATTCAACCCTTGGGCTGGCTGGAGTCAGGGGTTTTTTCTTTCGCGGTGGCGTAGGTTCTTTTTGTCTTTCTGAACGGCGGGCGTAGAGTGATGTTTAGAGCAGCGGCTCGAGTGGGCACTTACTGCAGTTTTTCGGGGTGTGTGTGGGAGAAAGGGCTGAAGCGGGAAGGTCTTTTTGCCAAAAATTTGGGAGAACGTGGGCCCCGCCCGTGGCCCGGCCCCTGGAGGGAGGGACCCCGAATCCTCGGGGCTCCCTGACCTTTGAGGTCGCGGGTGTCGGTGCAGGAGGTGATGTGTCCAGTCCCCCCGGAATGAGGGCTCTGGGCGGACCCTCTAGCAGCCTGTGTGTGGCCTTCAGTCCCTGTTAAACTGGGTGGTGACCGGGACATCCGTGTGTGTCCCGGGGCTCTGCAGGCTGCGTGTGGGACTCTCCGGAGGGCCTGTGCTCGGCGCAGTCCCGGGCAGGGCTGCTGGTTATTGATGGAGGTGGACGTTGGGAAGACTCTCGGGGCTGGGAGTGCTCTTACAGGGCTTCCCCTTTGCCTGTCTAGTGATTCTACACTCCCGCTCCCCACAAGACTCCGAACTCCCCCACCCCCCGCCCAACATACTCACTGATCTCAGGGTGGGAGTCAAGGTGTGTTGCGTGTTGTAGGTGGTGAGTAAATGCTCACTGAAGGAGGGTGCGGAAGAGAACTCAGAACCTGACCGTGGTTCTTTACTAGCATTATTTTATTTATTTATTTTTTGTTGTGGGACCCTCGCCCGGTGCGGGGAACCACGAACCGGTGCTGCAGAGGCTGCGGGCAGCCTCGCAGCCCAGCGCTCAACCACTGCCCCACCAGGGGAGGCCCACTAGCATTATATTTTTAATGCTGTTAGAATGTTCTGTAAGTCAAGTTTTTGATAATCTCGAGAGACTGAATTTATGAGATGTGTACAGCTACCACTCTTGTGGTAATCCGTTGTTCCTTGGGAAAATAGGTTTCTTTTAATCCTCTGAGAAGCTTTGTTTTCCTTCCTGGCTTGCCACCCTACTTTAGTATTTGATTTCTTTTTTTCTCTGCTTTTTTTTTTTTTACTGGATGGCTAAAGAAATTATTACTGTTAGTAACTACTGAAGGCTGCAGACAGTAAAATAAACTTTTAAAATGTTATAAAATTAAATTATTAAAATACTGCAGTAAAATACAATTACCATATGATCTAGCAATACCACTTCTGCGAATTTATTCAAAGGACATGAAAACACTGACTTGAGAAGATGCTTGCACAATCCCTTCCTCTTCCTCCCACCATTCATAGCATCATTTACAATAGCGAAGACATGGAAACAACCTAGGCATCTGTGGATCAATAAATGGAAAAGAAATTGCTTTTTATAATATATATAGAAACACATATATATAAAATGTTTTGGTTATATATATGATGGAATATTATTCTGCCATAAAAAATGAGGAAATCCTGCTATTTGTGATAACTGGGATGAAACTTGAAGGCATTGTACTAAAATAAGACAAAGACATAATAAATATATGATCTCACTTACATGTGGAATCTAATTGAAAAAAAACAAATTTATAGAAAATGAGATCAGACATAATTAGAGGTGGGGGTGAGGGGTAGGGAATAGTGGTAGTGGTAGAATTGGAGGAAGGTGGTTAAAAGGTAAAAGTTTCCAGTTATAAATAAATACTAGTGATGTAACATACAGTGTGATGACTGTAGTTAATATTGCTGTGTAGTATATAGGAAAGTTGTTAAGATGAACATTCTTATCACTAGGAAAAAATCTTTTTTAAATCTCTATATTATCTATATGAGATGATGGATGAAACTTGCAGGCATATTCATCTCAGTATATGTAAATCAAACCATTATGGTGCACACCTACACTTATACAGTGCTATATGTCAACTGTAACTCCAAAAATGGAAAATAAATGTTAAAAAAATGAACTGGTTGAACCAGTCATATTTTAGTGGTTGTATTTTATTTTTTTATTTTTTTATTTTTTTGTGGGACCCTCGCCGGTGGCCGGGGATCGAACTGGTGCTGCAGAGGCTGCGGGCAGCCTCGCAACCCAGCGCTCAACCACTGTACCACCAGGGGAGGCCCAGTTGTATTTTATTTTTGAATTTGATTGTGGGAACAAAAAATTGAACTTAATTCTTTGATGACTGCCTTTCTTAGGGTTGTTATATATATATTTTTTATTTTTTACATTATCATTGTTCATTTCTAAACAATATTTGTGTCCCCCCCCCGCCCGCCCCCCAGGTCTAGTCCCCATAGATTTTCCTGCACCTGTGCACCATCACCACAGTCCTCTGTGCTCCTCCCTCCCTCCCTCTGATTCCTCTTCTGCGTCCTCCCCTGCAGGAGGTCTCTGATTTATAATTGTCTGTTTTTGTTTTGCATTTTTTTTTACACTGATCTCTCTTTTTTTTTTTTTTTTAAAGATTTATTTATTTATTTATACAAGCAGTGAGTACAGTCAGAGGCGCGGGAGGGTGAGAGGATTCACCAGAGCCAGAGCGGAGAGCAGAGCAGGCAGACTGACGAAGTACACTGTTGAGGGGAGCAGCGGTACCCTCGCCTGGCGGCCGGGCATTGAACTGGTGCTGCAGAGGCTGCGGGCAGCTTCGCAACCCAGCGCTCAACCACTGCGCCACTGGGGAGGCCCTACACTGATCTCTTATTTGGTTCCCCTATATTCCTGCTATGAGTGAAACCATCCGATATTTTTCTTTTTCCTTCTGTCTTATTTCACTGAGCATAATTTCTTCCAGCTCCATCCATTTTTTTCTGCAAATGGCATGAGTTTATCTTTTTTGATTGCTGAATAGTATAGTATTCCATTGTGCATATGTACCACATCTTCTTGATCCAGTCATCTATTTTGGGCATTTGGGTTGTTTCCAGGTTTTACCTATTGTAGTGCTGCAATAAACCTAGGGGGTATAGGTGTTCTTTTGAATCAATGTTTTTGTGTCCTTTGGGTAGATCCCTAGTAGTGGAATTGCCGGGTCGTATAGAAGCTCCATTTTTAGTAGACTGAGGAACCTCCAGACAGCTCTCCATAGTGGTTGGACCAGTTTGCGCTCCCACCAACAGTGTAGGAGAGTTCCTTTTTCACCACATCCTCGCCAGCATTTGTTCCTGCTTGTTTTTTTTGTTATGTGCCATTCTCAGTGGTGTAAGGTGGTATCTCAGTATGGTTTTGATTTGCATTTCCCTGATGATAAGGGATGTTGAACATTTTTTCATATGCCTGTTGGTTAGACTTGTTATATTCAGAAGTGGTTTCTACCTGGAAATGACTGATACCAATTAGGAACTGACTTCTAAATGATGATCGATCACTTAACCTTTCTTTGCTGCTATGTTATTTTGGAGCAGATCTGGAATAACTCGTTGCCTTTTTATTACTGTTCTTGAAGAATAGGGATAAGTTTTCCTCCCTTGGATAAGGAAGTGACTTTTACAGCTGTGTACGTAGTACTAGCTAGAGGAGCCAGGATATTGTCAGTGAGTCAGCTGTAGACAGGTAACTTTGACTTGTAGTTCTTGGAATTAATAGGAAGGTAACAATAGTTCGTGCTTTGGTGCATCTACTATTTTGTGGACATGTTATCTCACTTACTTCTTGTGTGGTCCTGTGAGGTAACAGGTAGTGTCCTGTCAAACAAGGAAGAAGATGAGACTTAGAGACATTTACTATCTTGTTCAGTCATACCAGTTAGTAAAAGGCAAAGTGGGCTTCAAGCTTAGAACCATCAGAATCTCAAGGCAATATTCTTACATCTCTTCGGTTGGTTCCTTTTGGATTCAGTGTTTTCAAAATGATACGAGGTGGGCACAATGTGATAACATATATTTGTAGAGGTGTGGACCCATACTCCTAAAACATGGTGTTGCACATCAACATTACCTCAATAAACATACTTTAAAAACGATTGAAGTTCACATTTGAAATATTTTGCATTGTCAAAATATTATTTATATTTAAAAACTTTCTATGTTTTATTGGCATAGTTTGCTGGAGACTAACAAGAGGACTAAGACTTCAACCGCTGAGTCTTAGTTTATGCATTAGGTCCTGTTTCAGGATAGAAATAGTGAAATGTTGAACTAAGATATGCAGTGATGGGAATTCAGCAAGGTAAGGAGGTAAAACACTCATCTTTCTGCTTCAGAGATTAATTTGGTGATGTATTCTGGGAGTTTTTATTTTTCTCTCCTAAGGCATATGTGTTCACATTTCGATGCTCAAGGACATCTTAACTTACTAAATCTTCTAAGCCACTCGAGAAGCAGCTTGATGTGTTTCTGTCTTCTAGGATATTTTGGATAAGTATTAGTCAGCAGGATAGTGTGGAAAGAATAATGGAAGTGATAGAAGTAATAGTAGTAAACTAGTGATAATTGTGGTAAGTAACAATAAATCCTGTGGGAACAGCTAACATTTATTGAGCTTTAGTTTTAGGCATTATGCCCACGTTATTTCACTCAGTTTTCCAAATTTTCTATCAAGTAGGTGTTGATATTCTCATTTTACAGATTAAGAAACTAGGGATTGGAAAAGAAACTTGTTCGGGGTACTTAATAAGTCATTAAAACAGATTATGAATACAGGGTTTATGTCCTTTGAAGTCTTTGGCTCTATGGACTTTTAAAAGTATTTTATCAAAGTTATATTTTATGATAATTTGCTTGCTAAAATAAACTAAATCTCTATCCCTCCCCCCCAATTAAAAACAAAAGCAGTTGTTAGAATGAAAGGGTCAAGTAGATTAGATTATGTGAGACAATGAATTTTAGGGTAATTATTGCTTAACATAATTCATATGCATAGATTGAAAAGCCAAATAGTACTTTAAACCTCAGACTATAAAGACCAGTCTCTTGTCTACCGCTTTTCATTAGCTAGTGAGACTTTTGCCACCTTGTAAACACTCTTTAATCCAATCCACCAGTTAGTCAAAATCTTAGATAATTTCTTCTACTCACTCCCACCCCCAGTCAGCCTTTCTGCTCCAGTCTGAACTTGTTTCTTTTCCAGGCCTGTTACACAGCTATCTTCCTGGGAACTTTCTTCATCCTGGGCTTTTCTTTCTCTTGGTCCATCCTTGGACCCCGAGTTCCTCTCAGTTTATTCTCTCATTTTTAGAGAATGCATTCTTCACTAGATTCTGGAAACTGGGTACATGGAAGGTAAAAGACTTTTATCACGCGTGTAAATGTATTTTATCTACTTGAATAATAATTTAGCTAGGTAAAGAACTCTGGCTTGTAAATAATTTTCTTTCAGGATTTTGAAGATGCTGATCCGTTGCCTTCCAGCACTGTTGATAGAGATGCCCCATGTTTTGCTGATCCTTCACATATGACTTCTGGTTCTCTAGGCAGTTTTCAGATTCTATTCTTTGTTCCTAGGGTTTAAATTTCAGTCATATACCTCACTGAGGATCTTTTTAAGTTCATCCTGCTGGACATTCATCAGTGCTTTTGTGTTGAGAAATGTGTTGTTCTGTTCTGGGAAATGTTTGCATAGTATTTCTCCACTCTTTTTCTCTGTGGTTATTTATGAAATGCTCTTAGAAGCAGAATGTTTTCTAGCCTAGGCTCACTCTGTAATTTTTTGTCTCTTGGACTTTTTTATTTCAGAGGGATTACAGTAATTTCCTTCTTTGTTCTTTTAACTCTTGTATTGAATTTCAAATTTTGGTTAGAGTTTCCTATTTTAGCACATTCTATTTTTGTTTTTTGGGTTTTTTTGGATACAATATAGAATATCATTTCTCTGATGATAGCATTTTTGGGGGAGTTTTGTGTAGTGTCTCTGATTCCTGTGAGATTTTTTAGTTTTCAAAAATTTTCTTTAATTTCTCTGTTTTGTGTCTAGACTTTCCTCCTCTGTCTGATGATGCATGTTCTTGTTCCTATTTAAGAGTGATACTAAAAACTGTTGGAAAGTCTGTATGTTTAAAGTTTAGCTAGTGAGACTTTTGCTGCCCTGTAAACACTCTTTAATCATCCTACAGCTTCTCTGTAGCTGCTGGGCTGTAGGCTGATGCAGCAGTCTGCCTATCATCATAGGCAGAGACTCACATTTTTATTGGAGATTCTCCCAGTTGTCACTGTCAAGGTGTCTTTCCTCTTGGGCTATGTGCTTTGCTCAGAGCTGGAAGGTATATAAAGGAAGAGGAGAAGGAGTTTAGACTTTGCTTACTCTGTTGCTCTTCTAAGTGTGACATCTTACTCCAACTCTGAGCTGTGCCTGGTGTCCCCAAGACTAGAGCCTCTGTGTTCTCAGGCTTGGGGATGGAGTAGTTGCTTTCACGTCTGGAGGGTCTCTTCTTTACCACGTTAAGTAAATTCTGATACTTGTGAATTAACATATTCAGGGTAAATCAGAATTAATAAATTATGATACTCCACTTTGAGAATGATCTCATACCTCCTATTGCAGAATCTTCCTGCTGTTTTTGCTGTGGTTTGGCTTCTCGTTCACACATGAAAAGCTGAGAAAGCTGGATTTTAGGTTAGTTACACTTGTTCACTTTCTTTGGAACTTTCAGTGTTAGCATCTCATCTGCTTGTGTCTGTGCTGCCATTCTGCATTTTTGCCCCCCCCCATTAACTCTTATTTTAGTTGCGTTTCACAAGGGCACAGAGCTAGTTGTTTGTGCCCCTTATAATTTATTGTTAATGTTGCTAGCAAAGTAGTCACTAGTATGGGTGATCTTGACATTGGCTTGCCTGTTGTCTTGGGTCCTCACTTTAATACCCTTTTACTTTTTGAAAATAACTGTTCTGTTATGGTAATGTTTAGTGCCAAGAATATAGCTCTTCCAGAAATATATATTATTTCTATATAACGCAGAAGGGAAAACAGGAAAAATGGGAGTTTAAAATCTTCCTTTTTGTTTAGTTTTTCCCCCTCAGAGTGCTCAAGGCAGGCACATAGGTATCCTCAAGGAAGACAGGCTAGCAGGACCCAGGACCAAGAATTGGACTAGGCTGTTGAGTAGGGTAGAGTACCTACCTATTTTCGGAGTGCTCTATAAGACTGAGGGTAAGTAGCCTGAGTGACAAGCATGTTGCTGCCCACTGTGCTTTGGGGTCAGGGTTCAGGATACATTGGAAGTGCCTGTCAGGTGACACATTCTAGTGGGAACATGTAGCTGCCCTCTGCTAAATGAGGTGGGTCATTTAAAGAGCAGATGAAGGGACCTGCTTATTTAAGGACGCTTTGGTGTTTTTTCTGGTGTGGAGGGTCAGTGTTGTGTCACATGTGGCTTATGTTGTGTCACATGTTGGGAGCCAGAGGAAAGGGTGACTTTTGCTGCCCTAGCTGCTGAAGGCCCAGGCTGATGCAGCAGTCTGCTTCATGTGATGAGGCTAATGTGGTGCGTGAGGAAGAGGCTAGGGGGCAGAGGAGATGATCACACATCTCTTTAATGTGCTTGTTTTCCTGCCTAACTGAGGTCGTAGCTTCATGGCAGAATTTCCTCATAGCAGTCTCCTAAGAATATGCCCTGCTGGAGTCCAAGGAAGATCCCACAGGCACTTCAGGAAACTCCATGATCACGGGCTTTTTTATGCTTAAACTTTGGACTTTTCTAGAGACTAGTTGTAAGTGTCTGCCCAGCAAGTACAAGTCACCAAACTCCGTGCATGTGAATCCAGTGATTGTTTCCTGGGAGTTATTCCCCGCCCAACCCCACCCTCTCTTTTTTTATTGTTAAGTAAATGTTAGACTGGCTTGAAGCCTGTTCCTGCACTCCTTCCCTGTTGCCCAAGTTTCAGTGCACTTGAGTCCTTAACTCAGCAGTGAGGTCTTTTTGTCTTAAAAAGGAAACCCTAGCATCTTGGACAGTAAACACAAGTATCTCTCACTATTAACACAAGAGCCGCTTGCATTATCCGGTGGCAGGAGAGTATTATACAAATCAAAGTTTTTTTTTTTCCTTAATCCCCCCGCCCCCCATCCCCCTATGTGGAATCCAGTTTGCATTGGAAAGTAGGAGTTTTTGCTAATATGTTCTGTGGCAGTGTGTCTGATTTTGTAACAGGTCTTGAGCTTGGGCCACCTGTCACTACCAAATACCAGTAAAGTAGAGACAAGAATTGAATCTTTAAAGGTGCACTTTAGTCAGACCACTGGCTGTCAGGGAAGGCGGATAGTTAACACCCTAAAGAAACCATCTTAACATTTCATTTCCAGCTGGCTTTGTATAGTGAGTTGAACAAAGACAGTTCAGCCAGAAGCTGGCCCTCACTGCTAGCCTCAAGGCCTCCCAGTGTGCTGAGTCTGGTCTTCTGATAGCAGCTCCCCACACTCCCCCAGAAGTGTCCCTGAGCTGGAAAATTAACTCAAAGTCGACGGGCCATAGGCAGTGAGTGTGTGCAGTTTTCCTACCACACCACACATGACGTCTTACACAGTCTCCTCTCCCCCACCTCCCCAACCTCGGTCATTTCTAATCATTTTCTCCAGAGGATGCCTTTCAGCCTCTGCTGGTTCTGGGAACTGTAATTATTTTCACCTTTTCTAAGTTCGAACACTAGATGCCTTTTCTTCAGCTGGTTGGCCTCTTTATCCTTTCTGAAGGCTTTACTGGAAATTCCTTTGTTTTTTGACAGTATGACATTGGGCCCATTTTGAGGTATCCTGTCTCCAAATAGTAACTAGCTCACTTTCAAAGAACGCTGGCTCCTTTTGGAGTAGGCCAGCATTAGAGATAAAAATCTGGGCACTGGGGTGCATGTGAGATTGTTCCATGTAATGACAGTAGGTCGACAGGGTGATTCTAGATAAGAAGCTACTTGAGTCACCAGAGTCACCACCACTTGAGTCACTTTTTTTTTTTTTCAAAATGTCAGGAGCTTTTGGTGCTGATTTCAGCTTGTTTCTTTCTACCTTAGAATCATCTGATTTTCCCTTTCTCTCATAGTCTTGAACTAATTTAGATAGGCACACTAGAGAGATGTTTATGATGTCCTCTACATGTAGAAGTTCCGTTTTTTCCTTTTTCATAAAACCTTCACTCAAGTGGCCTAGAACTGATTCCCAAGTCTGCCCTTCAGCTGCTGCTTGTGGACATCCTTTGAAGCCCAGCTACCTGAAAAGTAGCAGAAACCCAGCCCCATGCCATGGACGCCCTGAAGAAGCAGGCATATCTGGCAACTCAGATGTTGATCCATACAACTAGGTAATAATCAGCTAATAGGAACTCTGCATAAGGTCTTATCTGCAGCTCTTTTTAACTGTGTTCATGGGTGCTGGCCTTATAGGCATGTAAAATGGTTGAACTCAGATTCTTAAAGACCTTTCAATAAATGAAGCTATTCTTAATCTCATTGTCACAATGGTGTCACATATTGACTGTTACGTGTGACAGCAAAATTAATATCAAGTATCTTGAGCCAAATTAATATCAAGTATCTTGAGAGATTTTTAAAAGTTTACTATAAAAATTTAGGAAATTCCATTCTACCACTCCACGTTTTTACACTACCCACTTGGTCCCTCAACCACCTCCTTAAAGGTATCAGCAAAATTGTAAGACAGCATTTCAGTCAGGTTTTGTATTTGCATGGTAACTGGGTAGTTCCCAATACTTACAGGTAATTTTTGGCCATTTTCCAGATTTTTTTTTTTTAACACGCAATACAAACTGCAAATTCACATGACGGTAGGAAATTTCACTATAAATATCCAGAACTTGACACGAAAATACATGCTGTATACCATTCCAGGTTTATGTTCTGGGGTGATTTCATCACTGTAGAGAGCGATTGCTGTCTCCAACATTCTGTCACCTGTTTTTTTTTTTTTTTTTAATTTCTAAATTGAGCCTGTTTCTTCCAGAGTGTAGCCACACGAAGGTAGGGACTCTTTGGCTTGGTCACTGATGCCTCCTTAGCGCCTAGTCCTGACTGCCTACACATTATATGCATGAATATTTAGTGGATGAAAATATAATGGTATTATTTCTTTGCCTCAAATCCTTTTAGAGGTAAATGGTGCTTTAGTTTTTAAGCTGCAGAAAGCCAAACACAGCCCAGTTCAAATAGTAAAGAAGCCTGTCATTTTGATTAACAAAAAACTTAGGATTTCTGTGGGTTTCTGGGTTGGTTAAGTTGGTGACTCAGCAGTGTTCTCTCTGCTGTCTCTACCTTGAGCAGCCCTCTGTCTGGCCCCCTTAAGGTCCTAGCTGCCAGCATCTTGCTTCTCTGTTCACATTCACGAAGAGAAAGAGGAGAGAGTGGCTTTCTGTATCTTGTTTATCTTGAACTGGAAGAAAGATGTGGAAAGATGACTTCTTTTCTTGGGGAGGACAAGATTGTGAGATACTGAAATAAAGGATGACGAAAGCTTATCGAACTCTTTCTAAAGGTTTGGAGAGAGAAACTCGAGCCATACTTCCAAGTGGAAAAATTAAATGAGGGATACTCATTTGTTCTTTTGAGTTGCCCATTAGACTTGTGCTTGAACATGTACAGTTTGGACAGATATTTTCAGATCCTTTCCCAGAGGTTGCCGGTTTACATTTCTGCTATTATGGTTTCTACATTTTTTCTACTGCCATTTGTGCCTGTCTGATGATATTGTTAACTTGTGTGAGTTTTATTTGGTTGTTAACTTATGTTTTGAATTTTGTCTGTTGGTTTAAGTGAGAAATTGACTATCTTCTGAGTTTATTGCCTACTTACTTATGTTTCTTTTTCTATGAATTGCCAAATGATTGTGGATTCTGTTCTATGTGAATTTGCTGCCATGTGATGGTAAATGTTTTTTCTTAATCTTATAGACCTTTTTTTTTTTTTTTTTTTTGCCAAACAGATTTTTGCTTTTGTGGAGTTAAATTTATTAAACATTTTCCTGGTGACTTCTGGTGTTCTTTAACCTGGCCACTCTGCTTGCCGATGCCAGTGCAGATTTTTGGGCATACCTTCTTATGCTGAAGCAGATGGACCCCTGAACCTGGGCACAAAGGGCATGTTAAGGGAAGAACATGGGCTTGAGAAAGCTGAGTTTTAGTGTTCCTGGGGCTGCTAGAGTAGAGTTAGCCTTTATAAGGAGGGCGGGGTTCTGAGGCAAAAAAGCCCTGGATTGGGAGTTGGGCAACGGTATATTGGGCCCACTGAAGACGTATTTGGTAAATGCCGGGTTACCAGTGAAGATGGAGGGCTATACTAGATAGCTGAGATTTTGTGTTATATGTGATATGTGAATTGCTAAAGCCCTTAGAATTTACTGAGAGATAGAGACCTTTCAGTCCCACTCCCCTTTCAGCCTTTCCTGACTGTGTTCATGGGATGACTCTTGGTGGGTCCTTGGGTAACTTCAGGGTGGGACTGGTTGCCAGAGGAGCCAACCATGTTATTAGAAGATTGGAACTTTCAGCCTTAACCCTGGATATCCAGGATGGGGTGAGCGGTTGGAGATTGAGTCCAGAGGCCAGTGACCATTGGTGTAGTAAGTCAAGCTTGCCTAGTGGAATCCCTTCAACCCCTAGATGATTGGGTTCCAAGAATTTCTGGATAGTGAAGACAGAGGAACTGTCAGGGTGCTGTACCTGAGAGGGCATGGAACTCTGCTCTTTCTTCAGTCCTTGCCCCCTGCATCTCTTACATCTGGCTGTTTCTAAGTCTTTTCCTTTATAATAAATAGGCTATAGTAAGTAAAGTAATTTCCTGAGTTCTGTGAGCCATTCTATCAAATTATAAAATCTATGGGAACCCCTAGTTTTATAGATCAGAAGTGTGGGAGGCCCAGGATTAGTCTTTTTTTTTTTTTTTTAAAGATTTATTTATTTGTTTATACAAGCACTGGGTACAGTCAGAAGCACGGGAGGGTGAGAGAATTCACCAGAGCCATACCAGGGAACAGAACAGGCAGACTGATGAAATACACTGCTGAGGGGAGCAGCAGGCGGCAGGAGAGGTCTGCGTGCCATATGGGACCCTCACCGGCGGCCGGGGATCAAACCGGTGCTGCAGAGGCCGCAGGCAGCTTCACAACCCAGCGTTCAACTGCTGCGTCACCAGGGGAGGCCCTAGTCTTTTTTTTTTTTTAGATTTATTTATTTATTTATACAAGCACTGGGTACAGTCAGAAGTGCAGGAGGGTGAGAAGATTTACCAGAGGTAGAGCAGGGAACAGAACAGGTAGACTGACGAAGTACACTGATGAGGGGAGCAGCGGGCGCGGCAGGAGAAGTCTGTTGTGCCATGTGGGACCCTCGCCAGCGGCCGGGGATCAAACCAGTGCTGCAGAGATCGTGGGCAGCTTCGCAGCCCAGCTCTCAACTGCTGTGCCACCGGGGAGGCCCAGGCCCAGGCCCAGGCCCGGGCCCAGGATTAGTCTAAAGTGTAATTCTCTTGTGCAGTTGAGCCCCTTACTCGCGGTGTTTGATGCTAAGTCGTGATTGTTAGTGTCAGAATTGAATTGAAACAGTGGAGATCTGGTGTCCTGAGAGTTGGAGAATTGATTGTTAGCGTGGAACCCCCCAACACATTAGGTGTCGTAAGTTTTGTGAATAAAAAATGGCTCATACGGGACATTGTCTTTCTGGGCATAATTTTGAACCTGCCTGTTTCTTCTATAGGTAAAAAGATGGCGTTTGTGAAGAGCGGATGGTTGCTGCGACAGAGTAAGTACTGCACACAAGCCCCTTGGTCCGGTCTAACGTTGCCTTAGGACCCCTCTTCTGAAATGTAACATTTGAAAGCAAAATGCAAAGCCTTATTAAAGTTGCCTTGAATTTCCTCTTCGGAATTTTCAGAGTGCTGTGAGTTGTTTCTCTGCTTGTACAGAGCTCCTCCTGGTTGCTGAATTGGCAGGGAACAGGGGGGTAATCAGTCCCTGCTGAACTCTTTTCTCACTAGCAGGCTTTATTATTAAGACTGACTTGGGCCGCTGCTTGAATGTAACCAAGCCTAACTTAAACACTGGCATGGCAGTACAGCTTTCTTTGTAGGAAATATTTGTCCTATCTGGGGGGATTGAACAGTGACTTAAGATTGTGAAATTTACTTAAATTATAGGGATGAAGATTCGATCTGAAAGAAAGAATGAATGTAAACTTTTTGCATCTTCAAAATGACTCTAGAGAATACACTCAGTTCTTTATAGGATTGAGATCCACGTAGACACATCTCTGTGGACCCATCTTTTGTCTCCTTTCTGCTTATCTGAGACTGGAGTGTGGTTCATAGTGTGTTTTAAAGCAGGAAGCACCAGCTCTGTTGAAACAATTAGAGAAAATGTTACTTCTGCAATAATTTATGGTCCAGCAAAAAACTAAGTTGTAAAATACACTGTTTTTCAAATATGACTTTATTTTTGGATGGGTTCTTTAGAGCTTGATTTAAATTCTGACTAGTGGTGAAGAATAACCCACACACTTAGATGGTTTATAAAATCTTTCATGAAGTGTACTCATGTTACACAGATTTTACATATATTATGTAGTTCTCACAGCAGCTGTGTGAGGTAAGTGGCATTATTCCAGTTTCCTATTGAAGAAATTGAAGTTCAATGATAAGTAGGTAACAGCTTGTCCAGGTGTTAACTATGAGTGGAAAATCTCCATTCAAACTTGCAACTGTGTTACTTCAACATCTGTGATGCCCTTTCTACTAGGAGACAGGCATTCACATGTCTGTCTGAGGACTAGTGCTATGGTCCCAGACCTGGAGCTGAGTCAGCTGTCTTCTCAGTCCTGTAGTCTGAGACTATATGAATCTGTTGTAATGTTGGCTCTAAAAAGAAAGTTCTGGCATATTGGAGTCTCACTTCAGTCTTTGTGTAAGTTTCCTTATCTTGGATTTTGTGACGCCAAACTCCCCCAAATGGTCAGGCGGTGTGGAAAGTCTTGCCTAGACTTCGGGATGGGCTTTCCTGGCCCTTCAGATAGCCTCTGCTGTTGCCCTTAGGTTCAACTGTGTGCTTGTTTGAGGGCAACCTTTCCTTTTTCCACCTTAACTCAGTGTAAATGCTCTGCCTTTTTGCCAATTGTGTGCCCCTTTCACTGCCTAGTATGATGATTTATACAAAATAGGTATCCTTTACCTTAAGTTGTACAGACTTTGCCATTGTTCTGGCTCACAGCTATTGCAAAAGTGTGTATTCGGAAGATTTACTCTGTTACTCCATCTCCCTATGTGTGGACTTTCCTCCTTCCTAAAAGCAAACGTATCAATCACAGTAAAATAAAAAGAAGTCATACATGTTCACTGAGTACAGTGCAGCAGACGTACATATGTTGGTTACATGTATGAAAAGCTGTCTCTGGGGCTCCTTTTTCTGCATTTGCCACATAAACTAGCATCTAAGATCCAGTATCTGGATCTGGAGAACAACCTGATTTGAGAATCTCTACCCAGGGCATTGATGGCAGGTGAGATAGTTGGGTAGAAATTTGAGCTCAATGATTTTACCTGTCTGTTTGTTATGAGTGTCTATTTATTAGCATCTGCACAACTCAGGTGCTGCCAATTAAATGGATGGTGGCTGTCACTTACCAGTTTGGGCATCTTGCTGTGGGTGCCACTCTTAGCCAGAGGGTGCTTGCTAGTGGTAAAGAAATTCAGAGGCTGGGGCCTTCTGGTGTCACAAGGGGTTGAGTCTCAGCTATCAGCAGCCACTGCAGCACGAGTTTGATCCCTGGCCAGGGAGCTACCCACATGGTGCAGCAGAATTCCTCCGTCTTGCCCGCTGTTCCCCTCAGCAGTGTACTTTGGTCAGTCTGCCTCTTCTGTTCCCCGCACTGTATGTGGTGAATCCTCTCACCCCCCCACCCCCGAACCTCTGGCCCACATGCCACTTCTTGTCTGCATAAATAAATAAAATAAATCTTTAAAAAAATTCAGAGGCTGAAGTGTCACGTATTTGATTGACAGCAACAGTGGACATGGGACAGAAAGAGAGGTGCATGGAGTGGAGTTCGTGCATGTTGGCATTGCCTGGGGTGGGACCCAGAAGGAACGAGAGATGCAGTGGACAGAATGTGGCGTGACTTGGTGCTAACACTGGCCTTTAGTTTTCTCTTCCGGCTGAATTTATAAAGTTAAATGCCTCGTCAAAGATTACAGAGGAAAGAATGAATTCTCTCAAACTAATAGAGACATGAGGTGGGAGGGGCAGATGCACGCAGTGTAGGAGTCAGGTGACCCAAAGGGAAGGTGAGTGTTGGAGGAGAATATATGTGAAAGTCCTTCAAGAAAAAATTTTTCCAAAAGAGGCTTGTATTTTTATTGGTATGACCAGTTTAGAAGTTTAGCTATACCACTTAGGGAATTTAATGTAACGTTCCATTAGGTCAAAATCCAGGTCGTTTGGGGATATTTTCGTATTGGGATTTTTAAGATGGTGATGTTCGAGGTATTTCTAGTATATGCTGCTCGCAGCCCTGGTACAGTATGAGTGTTACTGCCATTGGGATCTCCTTTCACTTCCATTTTGATGGACTGCTTTGGTGGATGTATTAAGGTAGACTTGGGGGAACAAAGGAAAGTTTCCTTTGTTTCTTTTCCCTATGAATTAGAAGACAAAGTCTTTGCTTTTTTTACTGAAAGCCAGACTTTCCTATTTTTTACCAGGTACCATTTTGAAGCGCTGGAAGAAGAATTGGTTTGATCTCTGGTCAGATGGTCACCTGATCTATTACGACGACCAGAGTCGGCAGAGTATTGAGGATAAAGTCCACATGCCTGTGGACTGCATCAACATCCGCACTGGGCATGAATGTCGGGGTAAGTGGGTCTTACCAACCAGCTTCTGTCATCTGCTCTTCCCCATTCTTAATGGAGTTGAATCTTCTCTTTCTGTTTTCATGAACAGACCACAGAAATGTTCCATCTGGGGAGAGGTAGCCCATAGCAGGACGCCAGCCACTTAGCTTGTGATCCATATGGCTGGGGCAGATTAATTTTCTCATCCAACTTCGGTTCATTAATCTATATTATTTTCACTCACAGAGAAGGTGGTGGAGAAAAAAGGAACTAGAGTGCTGGAACCCCCAAGAAGCACGGAACCATTGATTTTGTAACTTGGAAACTAGCAGCTTCTAAAATGTCATGATCTCATGGTTTCCTGACGTTATCCCTTATGTCTGTCTTAAAAGGGATACATTTTTAATAAACATAGACTTTCCTATTTCTAAGTAATGGCATGTGTAGACGTCTTTGTTTTTTTGACTCTTGCTATTTGAGTAGGGAGTCACACATGTGATACCTGCTTGTCGTAACAATTGATATATCCTGCTCCTGCATATTAGTTCTTGGGTTAAGAAGGTACAAATGAGATATCTGGTGTTGTAACATCCTGCCTGTCTCTACACAATAGCTGTTGAAACACAGGTCTCCATAGACCAGATATTGAAATCCTAACTTCATCCAGACTTAAATATCATAGCTCTTATTTCTTGGTACACAGAGATACTTTAAAATCTGTTTTTCACCTTTAAAGCAGTGATCTAGTTTGAGATTCCTGTGAATAAAAGCAAAAAGTGTTCTGTTATCTGATGCTTTGTATTACTTTCTATTGTGTGAGACTCATTGTCCTCTAATGTCTGGGCTCTTCTGTACATATGTGGTATGTGGCTTGCCCTCTACAGAAGGCCTACTTGTTCTTCCTTCAGGAAGTTTAATTAGAATGGAGCACTGATTCATGTGTTTGGTTCTGTGTAGCAGAACAAAGATATTTTGTAATTGGAGTATTCTGAAGTATAGATCTTATGCTTACCTGAGCTGTTAGGTAACAAATATTAAAAAAAACAAAAGCTATAAACATTCCTTCATTCTATTTATTTTTCATAGATATTCAGCCTCCAGATGGGAAGCCAAAAGACTGTATGCTGCAGATTGTTTGCCGAGATGGGAAAACTATCAGTCTTTGTGCAGAGAGCACAGATGATTGTTTGTAAGTTACGATTTTTTATATGTTTGTAAGTATTTTCTGATTTAATTTCCAATTACCAAAAAGGGACAAGAACTGGAGTGGAATTTTCCTTCAGGCAGCAGGATTAATGACCCTGAATGTGTAAAAGAAATGTAACAGGGTCTTTTTCAGCATAATGAGAATGGCAAAAATGTATTGGCATACTGTCTCTTGGAGCTCTCTTTTTTCATTACTAGATGCACACTGGATAATAGGAATAGATTATAAGATAGTTGTAATACAGGCATATATTAAAAAGCAAGGAAAGTCCCCAGTAAGCAACCTATTGTCACATCTGAAGCAACTAAAAAAAAAGAACCTAAAGTTGAAGGAAGGAAATAATAAAAATAATAGAAAGAAATGAAAGAGGCATCAAAAAGACTTTTAAAGAATCACTGTCTACCTTGCTCAAATAATTTTTAAAAATGAAAGAAGAGATACTCCCTAATACATTTTACAGTGCCAGCATTACCTTCATACCAAAACCACACAAAGACAGCACAGGAAAAGAAAATTATATACCAATGTTGCTGATGAACATTGATCTAGAAATTTTCAACAAGATACCAGTAAATTGAATTCAATAGTATACCACAAGGATTATACACCATGGGCAAGTGGGGTTCATCCAAGGATGCAAGGATGGTTTAATATACATAAACCAATTCATGTAATATACGATATCAACAAAAGTAATGATAAAATCATGGTAATATATTCAATAGAAGCAGAGAAAACATTTGATAAGATTCAGTACTCTATTATATACTTGAAAGTTAAGAGAATAGATCTTAAAATGTTACAGCCATGAAAAAAGTAATTATGTGAGGGGATGGAAGTGTTATTCCATTCAACATTATCAAAGTAATTATTTTACAACATATTTGTATTAGAATTTCACATTGTACACTTTAAACTTAAAAATGTCATATATCCTATCAAGCCAGCATTATTTATTATTGCAAAAAATTGTTGATCACCTTAAATCTTCTTTAACATTACATAGCCATTTAAAAAAATGAAGCAGATCTGTGTGTATGACATGAACTGAAAATAAGTTGCAGTGTAGTTAGGCAGGGCATATTTTACATTAATAAATGAAGCAAAAACAGTAGTATATATTATTCTTCAAATATTATATATACACATGCTACTTTTTAATACATATTCCTAGTGAATGTCTCAAGTGAGTTGGTTGAATGATTCTTTGGCAATGTAGAAGACTTGTTCTTAAAGCAAACTTGTTAGAAATTCTGATGTCAACGCAGATTTGAGAATCAGAGATAGATGTTGGATTGTTTCAAATAAAGTTTCCCATTTTTTTCCCCCAGAGCCTGGAAATTTACACTACAGGATTCTCGGACAAACACAGTAAGTGCTAATGGCAGTCATCAGCGTGTTTTCTTGTAGTCTTGCTGTAACAAATAAAATAAGAGTGGATTAGGAAAGTGAAATGGGGAAACTGAGTTTTTTGGTTATCCAGCCAGCAGTGAGCAAGCAGAGTCCAGCAGAATGCACGTCACTGATGATGAGCGAGCTGGGTTTTGCCAAACATTTTGGCAGAAGGAATCCTAACAAAAGCACACTAGTTCCAGTGTTGTTTTCTAGAAATAGTTTTATCTCACAAAGATTTGTAACGCTTTGAATTTTGTTGAGGTTTGCGGGGAAGACTCGGAGTCCTTTTTTATACATAGCATCTCAGCCTTGTGAAACAAACATTTTGGGACTTGGTTTTAGTTCTGCTTCTCACCACAGGTGGTCACTGAGACAGTAAATCCCATTTATAGAGGCAATCCCTCCATCGTGTCCCTTCGGAGAATTAGGGTAATACCTCTGTAGTCAAAATTTTCTTTCTTCAGAGAAGATTTTATTTTTTTCCTGTATTTCTCTAGGAAGGAAAGAAAGAATTTGTACAGGTAGGGGATGAAAGTGAAAAGACAGTATTGAAATATCATCGTTTCCTACAGTTGTCAGCCCAAGACAGTTCTTACCCCTAAGCTTATTGTGCATTTCCAGTTACTTTTTCTTTGATGGAAATCCTCTTCTTGGATGAAATTTATTTTAATGGTCTATATAGTTAGGGACAAGATCCCAAGAGCATCTTTATATGAATTTCTTTTTCAAAAGAGTGCTTTTTTTCTTTTTCACTAGGGAATATTTTTATGAAGGATTTTCATTTGAAATGCAAAATGAACTATATAGAGTATATCTCTGACTGCTGCATTTCAGGTGGTAGGATTTTTCTTTGTGAGCACAGGGTTGAGTGTTTGTTATTACATCTTTCAAAAAATTGGGTAACAGTGGAGACTATGGCCTTGGGTAGTGAGCACTTTACTCCTGCCTCCTGCAGGTATTTGGATGGACCAGCTGACTCCCGAGTTTAAAGGGTACCACCCTGCTGGTGGGATTAGGGGCAATAGTGCTCCTGCCTTTCATGGCTCCTCAGAGAGCTGTTTATACCCATTGTTCACAGATTAACTTTTTGTTTTTTAATTTTAAAGATTTATTTATTTATGCATACAAGAACTGGGTACAAGCCAGAGGTGTGGGGGGTGAGAGGATTCACCAGAGACAGAGCGGGTAACAGAACAGGCAGACTGACTGAAATACACTGCTGCCGGGAGCAGCGGGTGAGTTAGGAGAGGTCTGCAGCGCCATGTGAGTTGCTCCCTGGCCAGCTGGGGATAGAGTTCATGCTGCAGTGGCTGCGGATAGCTTCATAGGCTGCGTCTTAACCCCTTGCACCACCAGGGAGGCCCTGGTTTTTAATTTTTTAACGTGCTAAAATAAAGGACATGTTTACATCACAAAATTGTGTTGTGTTGTGGTAATTTTCATACTTTTCTCCTCTTATAGGCTTATGTTGGCTCAGAAGTCATGTATGATGAGACGGTGGTGGCTGCTTCCCCACCTCCTTACACAGCCTATGCCACACCATCCCCTGAGGTAGGGAGCAAATCTTTGTGTTATGGAACCCAAGAAAGTGCATGGAGCGATCTCTGTGCCTCTTTTTTTTTTTTTTAATCTTGAGCCAGTACCAGAGAAATTAGAAACTTCCTTTTTTTTAAACTTTTTCCTTTTTATAAACAGATTATTATCTTTTGCCTTCATAATATAGTTGCTTTATATCCTTCATACTGATAGTTTGTTTTTAAGATAGATTCAGAAATGAATTTTATTAATAATCATTGCTGTACTTAGAGGTATCCCCAAGTTAGAGGTGTCAAGTGTCAGTGTTACATATAAGATAATTTTGAATTCACAAGAAGTTGCAAAGATACATGGAGCCATCTCATGTACTCATCACCCAGTTCCCAGTTGTTCTATGTTAGATAAAATCAAAATCAGGAATTTGAAATTGATACAGTGTTTATGCCTGGTTCTGTGTTATTTTGTCGTGTGTAGATTTGTGTAACCACAATCTTAATGAAGATAGAGAACTGTTGACAAGATTTTCCACCCCTTCTATAATCCATGTCAACCACTGATTTGTTCTGCATCTCTTTAATGTTGTCATTTCCACAATGTCCTATAAATAGAATCATACAGCAGGTGATCATTTGATTTTGATTTTTTTTCACTCAACGTGATGCTGGGTATTCATAGACATTATTGCATGGATGTACTGCATAATCTATTGAGAGATTTACCTATTGGGGAACATTTTGTTTGTTTCTAGATTTTGGCTGTTACTAAGAAACCTGTGAAGTTCATGTACAGGTTGATTTATTTCACTAGCATTGTGTAGTTTTCAATATAAAAGTTCTGTACTTAATTAGATATACATATAAGTATTTATTACTTGGGGAATCTTTGTAGTGTTATATTTTAAATTTTAATTTCCTTTTGTTTATTGCTAGTATACAGAAATCAGTTGATATTTGTATGTTGATCTTGTAACCTGTGAACTTTCTAAACTCTCTCATTAGTTCTGGGAGTACTTTTATTTTGTAGATTCTTCGGGATATACTTTGTAAATAGTCATGTCCTTTACACACAGGGAGAGATCCATCTTTCTCTGCCCATCTGCATACCTGTTTCCTTGTGTTGTCTTGCCTCATTGCCCCAGTTATAACTTCCAATGTTACGTTGACTGGCAGTGGAGAGAGCAGCCAGCCTTGCCTTGTTCATGAATTTTAGGGAGAATTCAGTCAGTTTTTCACATTAAGTATGATGTTAGTTGTAGGTTCTTCGTCAGGTTGAGGAAATTCTTTCCTCTTCTAGTTTTCTGAGAGTTTTTGTCATGAATTAATATTGGATTTTGTCAAAAATTTTTCTACATCTATTCACTTAGTCATGTGATGTATTTATTTTTTTAACCCACTATTATAGTGGATTACATTGATTGATTATCAGATATTGAACCCTCTTGCATCCCTGGAATAAACCTTACTTTGTGGTTGTGTATAGTTATTTTCATTTATTGCTGAATTCTGTTTGCTGATATTTATTAAGCATTTTTCACCTATACTCATGAGGGATATTGGGTTATAGTTTTCTTTTTTGTACTCTCTCTCTTACTTTCGTATTAGGTAATACTGATTTATAAAATGAGTTGGGAAGTAGTCCCTGCTTTTCTGTTTTCCGGAAGAGATTGATACTTTTCATATTGTCTAATTTATGTCTGCCTGTCTATCATTCGATTCATACACACTTAAATTTTCTTGGTAGATTTACCCTATTAAGATTATGTAATGTCTTTCTGTGTTTCTGGTAATTTTCTTTAGTCTGGTGCCTACTCTAATTTCATTAACCCAGATATTTCTGCTTGCTATTGATTAATGTTTGCATGGTGTTTCTTTTCCCACCTTTTTTCTTTTACCCTACATATATCATTATCTTTGAGGCGAGTTTCTCATAGACAGGATATAATTGGTTCACCCCCTGTCTTGTCATTGGTGTAGTTAGGCCATTTGCATATAATGAAATTTTGTATATATTAATTGAGCTATTTCAGATTTTGTTTTCTTTTGGTTCTGTTGTTCATTTCTTTGTTCTTTTACTTAACCTTTTTGTGAGTTACCTGAACATATTTTAGAAGTACACTTTGATTTATCTGCAGTGTTTTTGAGTATCTCTTTGTGTTGCCTTTTTAGTTCCAGTTATTGCATTATAACATGGATTTCAATATATCTCTATTTATGTATCTTTCAAAGTAAAGTGTTATTTTGCCAGTTCAGTGCAGTATCAAACTATTACCTCTAAGTTACTTTTTTTCTCCCTCATCTTATAATATGATTGTCTTAAATGTTTCTTTAATATACTCTACCATACTAGATGCTGTTATAAATTTTGCTGCAGTTGTCACCTGTCCCCCAAGTCTCGCTCCCCTGCTGCAATCACTCCTCCATCCCTGCATGCTCTAGATGGATGGTTGGCCAAGAGCTTTGTCCTTTTACTGTAACCCTTTGGTAATGCCCTTTTACAATGCGTGTGCCCGGAAAGCATCCTTCACCTGCTTAATTTCAGCTCTCAGGGCTCCCGGTCTTTTTCATCCTTGGTCCTTCAGAACGCTCTACCTTGAACTGCTGAATACTGGGCTGGGGAGGGATCTGCTACTAGGTTGACTTCCTCAAAATACTGGTTTGGGATGGATCTTATCAGCTGGCTCAACCTGATCATTATAGAGGGGAACAAAACAAAGCCCAGAGTAGTTACGTAACTACTACCAAGTTAATGGTTCAGCTGAATTGAAATCCAAGTCTCTTCCAAGTCCAGTTCCAAGTCTAGTTATGTTTTTCTGCCCTTTTTATTGGCATCTGAAAGATTCCAATTGTGGTTTTTTTTTTCCAATATTAAGGCATAGTTACATTGTCTCATAGTTTTTATTAATTTTTAAAAATTGACTTAAATTTTATTGACTGCAAACTGAAGAACTATTTTAATATATTACCAGGGGTTTCAAAATTGTGTCTCTAATGGGCCTATTTCTTTTCAGCAGGCATATGGCTATGGTCCATATAGTGGTGCCTACCCGCCAGGAACTCAAGTAGTGTATGCTGCCAACGGACAGGCTTATGCTGTGCCCTACCAGTACCCATATGCAGGTAACTTATCCATCTTTCCATGCTTTGTTTCTCTTTATTTAGTGGGAAGATCAGTGAAACCCAAATAATTTTTATTTCTCAGTTTATGGGTAATTAAGCTGTCTTCTGGTTATATAGAACACAAATCACTCTGCTAATTATGCTTTATTTTTTTCAGTAAGAATTTTGTATTTTTATACTGCTTTACAAAGTTAAAGTAGACTTGATTTTTTTTAAAAAAAAAAATCATATTGGTTCCCATTTATCTGTGGGATTTACTTATGTTAAGAAGCAAGCATAGTGCTCCGTCACTGCCTGCTTTAGCCTTACCACTGGACCATGGTTTATAAGTTGGCAGATGAAGCTCCTGACATCACCTGGGTCCCAAAGGCGGCGGCTGTAGTGACCATCCTCCTGCGATGCTATAGGCAGCCTGATCCAAGGGCCTGCTGCCTGCCCAGACTTGTGCTGACTGTGCTACTTCCTGGCCGGAGGTGTTGCTGATGATGTGCCAAAACAGCATTTGCTCCTTGGGATGGAGTAAAGGCTTTATTACAAGCACACAGTTGTCATTACAGATACTTAAGCGTGTTCTCTACATTGTGTGCCCTTCTTCAAAAGGAGGGATACCTTGGATTGTACAAAGGGAACAGTGCAATGAGGATTCAAATCTTTTTTTTTTTTTAAGTTAATATCCCAAAGGGCAGATTTATTAGGAAAAGAAAGAAAGGGAGAGGCACCAGCATAGTCAGAGAGCTGGACGGGACAGGTTTGTTAAAACTGAGATACCTGAGATAGACATGGGTGGGCAGTCTTGGGAGGAGAGCTGCTGAGGATTTGAATGCTTTTCCAGTTTATGATGTTTGAGCATTTGTCAGTGTTCACTATTACAAAGCTGAGAGTTTCTGATCTACTTCCATGGAACTAGAGCCTGTAGTCTCTAGTTGTGAAGTCTGGGTCCATGGCAGTTATTTTCTTTTTAAACCACTTGAAGCCATTAAGACCACTTAAAAGACTGGGGACATGGGACAAGGAAGGCAGAAATAGATGAGAGCCTATGGGAGGGCCAAGACCAAAGTGATCAGATTAGAGAAGAGAAAAAATCATGGGAGTTGTGAGAATTTATGAAAGTTGTAAAAATAAGATATATAGTGATGAAAATCTTAAAGTCTGCTGTTTGACCAAATGGTGTCAGCATGATCAAGCCTTTTGATAGTCCCTTATATTTGTCAAACTTTGAAGCATCAGTCATTCCAATAAAAATGGAACTAGTTTATAAATGTAAAGAAGGCAAGCTAATTAAGACCCATTTTAAGAGATAAGAGGTAATCTTTATCCTGTTTTTTTTTTTTTTTTTCTCTCATAATATCCTTAGAAAATTATCCCTTCTGAGGTAGTGTTTCATTTCCAGGTGAAGTAGAGGCCTGCAAGGGGCTTATATTTATTCTGGGCTTTTGGTGTACTTCTTTCCATTCTTCACCTTACCTGAAACAAATTGTAGGTATGAGGGCACTGGCCTGTGTAGGCAGCATGAAGTCCTGGCTGCTACTTGTGCAGGGGACGTTTGCAGGGTGGGTGTGTAGAAGGCTGGCCATGGAACTAGACCCGGTAGCCAGGATGAGTGGGACCAGAGAGGTGTGACTGATGGATTGAAGAGCCAGGTTGTGAGCAGGTGAGGACTGGCAGGGGCAGGGTATAGTGGGTGTCGCATGTCAGATAGTCACACAGGGTAATGAACTAGTTGATAAGTAAACTGGAAAGCAGATTCAGAGGAGACTCTGAAGGGACTGTATCTCTTACCAGAAAGGCAGAAAGGCAGAAAGGCAGGGAGGCTGCCATAGGTCCTCTGGATTTGGCCAGCCCCAGAGTGAACGCATCCTTCTAATAAGCGGTTGACTTTGTTATAGATTAGCATCTGTTATGAGAGAGAGTTCTACTACTCATCTATTCTGGAATCTGATGAAGGTCACTCAATTAGCAATGGCTATGAAGGATTCTTCTGCCTGCTTAGCTATTTTTCATGTCAAGTTGAAAACCAATGAAATGATGACGCTAAAAAATGAAATACTCTAATTGCACTAAATGTAGCAACTCTTTGCTTTAATTACTTCTCCATATATAACATAAAATTTTCATCTTTGCAATCTTAATTTTTTGCATTTGTATTCTCATTTTAAAATTGTATACATTTGTTCCAGAGTGCTGCATGATCTTCATAAGTATTTAGTGATATTTTTAATGATTACATAGTAATGTATTGGAAGATATATTTTATTGGTTAAGCCTTCTAGTATTGGCTACTTTTCTCTTTTTGCTATCATAGATACTGCTTTGAATATCTCTAGTTAATTTTTTTATTCCTGTAAAATGTCTTATAAACATTTCTGATTTCTGTATATTAAATTAATATATTGAATGGCATAGACATTGTGGTTTCTTTTGAACATTAAACAATTGTGTTTTCAAAAATACAGAAGTAGGGATTATAGTAGAATGAACTGTCATATGCCCATTACTAGCTTCAGTAATTATCATATAATGGGGCTAATTTTGTTTTATCTCACCTCTTCATCCCACCTCTGGATTATTTTTTTAATAATTTATGTATCTTTTACATAGTTCAATTTTATACAATGTTGCTTTCTTTTCTCCGGTGTAGTCCCCATAGAATTTCTACCACCACTTTACCTGTGCACCATCACCATAGTCCCTTGTTTTGATCCCTCTCCCTCTCCCCCCACTGCAGAATGTCTCTAGGATTTATAGTTGCCTGTTTATTTTTGTTTTATTTTTTATTATTACTTTTTCCCTTGTTCCCTTGTTTGGTTTCTCTATATTCCTCCGATATTTTTCTTTTTCCTTCTGACTTATTTCTGAGCATAATCCCTCCTAGTTCCATCCATGTTGCTGCGAATGGCATTAGTTTATCTTTTTTTGATTGCTGAATAGTAGTATTTTGAGGGATATCCAGATTTTATATCATTTCATCTGACAGTATCATGGTGTCTTGATACCATTTATCAAGTTGATTCTAGAACAGTTTACCAATTTATAATGCAGTAACAGTTAATGATATACTACTGATTTCTTTGTAGCCACATAAAGATTGCCTGTTGTTATGCTCTAAAAATTTTGATAACCTAATTTGTCTGAAGTGGAATCATCAAGTTGTTCAAGTTTACATTTCTATGTTTACGGGCAAAGATTAACATTGTGTAATTGTTTACAAATTAGAATTCCCTTTGTAAGAATTATTTTCCTTTGCCCATTTATCTTGGGTTCCTGATGGTGGTGGTGGGTTTTAAAACCTTAGCCTTATTCGTTCCCTGAAAGCCAGCCTCTTATTCAGCCCCCATGTCACAGACTGGGTTAATACTAGCTGTTTTTTTATTAAATGAGATAGCGGTGCTTTTGCAAAAGTTCTTGTAAAGGGAATCTCTGTCAATTGGATTCATTCCTTGCCCTTGACTTTCTTCAAAAGAACAAAACAAAACAAACCTTAGTCATCTTACCAGCAGCCTCAGAATACTTGATATCAAGGGCTGAGTTAAATTCTTATGGATTCAACCGGCAGTTGTACTTGCTGTGGGAGGGCCGAGTTGATTGGTGGTCACCCCACAGCAACATGACATGATACCACAGTCAGATACCTCTTCATTCTTTCCAAGACACCACAGTGCTTTGCTGACTTCATGACATTTTGCCTTCTAGTGTCCACAGAGACCCTTTTATGCATAGAGCTGACTAAAGACCTTTTCTTTAATGTGATAGGAACAGTGGTGAGTCAGCCAATTTAAAAAGTATCAAGTGTGCTGTATACACATTTTTTTTTAAAGATTTATTTATTTATGCATACAAGAACTGGGGTACAGGCCAGAGGTGTGGGGGGGTGAGAGGATTCACCAGAGAGAGTAGGGAGCAGAACAGGTGGATTCATTGAAACACTGCTGAGGGGAGCAGTGGGCGAGTCAGGAGAGGTCTGCTGCACCATGTGGGCAGCTCCCTGGCTGGGGATCGAACTCCAGCTGCAGTGGCTGCGGACAGCTTCATAGGTTGCGTGTTAACCCCTTGCGCCACCAGGGAGGCCCTGTGTACACATTACTTTGTTTTACCCACGGTAGTGGCCATTTGTTTAGCAGTCTTTCAACGTGGGCCCAAGGTCTTCATGTTGGTTTCCTTGATTCAAGCCTCCTCTTTCTCCCTGTAGAGAGCATCCTCTTGATATAGCATGGCTCCTGGTTTCCAGAGGCAAGTCTCAGAGCAGACCCTCAGATTCTGTGAATCTGGGCTCTCTCTCCCCAACTTTTATAAGTTACTCAATTCCTTGGTTTGATAGTAATTAATAAAAATTACCTGCCTTTATTTAGTTCTCCTAAAGTGTCTTGACTTAATTATCACAGAAAACAGTATCTGCCCTTTTTCCAATTTACATTTTGATTATTTATGTAAAGCTTAGTTAAATTAGGTAATTAAAATAGGTCCAACTTGGAAGTATCCCCAGGTAAGTTTGGTAAGGACTTGGCTCCAGATGCTGGGGAGCAGCCCTGGTCCTGTGGCAAGGGGAACCTTGCATGGGACTACAGGTTTCAGTTTTCCAGGGGAGCTTTTAGTTAGGAGAGCTTACAGGTTCCTGCTGTATTATCTTTTACTACTGGGAGTTGCTTTATTGAAAAATACTAAATTTTAACACTATGAAAGTGATTGCCACAGTTTACCAGTTTTGAAAGGGAAACATTGTATTAAAAGTCATTTGCTTCTCAGGCCTCCCCGGTGGCCGGTGGCACAGCAAGCTAGCCTCCCTGGTGGTGGTGGCGCAGCGAGGCGCAGCGGTTGAGCGTGGCACAGAGGTTGAGCGTGGCACAGAGTTTGAGCGCTGGGTTGCGAAGCTACCCGCAGCCTCTGCAGCGCCGGTTAGATCCCCGGCCGCTGGGCGAGGGTCCCACATGGCGTGCAGACCTCTCCTGCTGCCCGCTGCTCCCCTCAGCAGTGTACTTTGTCAGTCTGCCTGTTCTGTTCCCCGCTCTGGCTCTGGTGAATTCTCTCACCCTCCCGCGCTTCTGACTGTACCCAGTGCTTGTATAAATAAATAAAATAAATCTTTAAAAAAAAAAAAAAAGTCATTTGCTTCTCATGCTGTGACCTGTGCTGCCCTTAGGTTTATGACCGTCTCATGCTGCTATGTGGCTTTCCATTTTTTCTCTTTTTTTGTGTTTGAGCTCAGACTGTAGTATTAGGTTGGTACACCCTCATACCCTTCACTCCTGTGTGCCTCAGTTTTATCTGTCTGTAAATTGGGGGGTTATAATAAACTATTGCTTAGTATAGTAATAAGCTATTGTTGTGGGGCTTGCTTAGAATGGTGAACACTTATAAATGGTTCATTATCAGTGTGGGTTTCGGGTTAGCTCGCATCCACATCAACACACTCTGTAGCAGTAGTTTCTAGCTCTTCTAGGGCTGAACTGTTAAAAGAATAGTGGTTTGAGGAAAGGCAACTATGAATATGTGAGCAATTTTAAAGCTATTTAGCTACTAGACAATATAGCTGTGAAGTACAGAACAAGTAATGTATTTTTAGTGGTAAACATTTACCATTCAAAGTAAATATAAACTGTTTAGTTTGCTTTTTAGAATTATTTTCCTCTAATACAGTATTTTTCCTCATAAGACGTGATTAAAAAGGAAGAGCAAGCTTTGAGCCGACTTAAACTAATTACTGTTTAAATTTTCACTTTCAGTTTTTTGACTCTCCCACTGTCTATAGGCTCTGTGTGTCTTCCCTGTTCTCCCCCATCTGCCTGTCATCCGAGCAGGTACCGTGTGGAGGGCTGATGTGGCTTCGGAGACTGGACTTTGCAGTTTCATTGGGATTCTGCTTTTTATAGTGTTTGGCATTTAGGACTGTGGAAAGCTGAGAATCCTGATTTTCTCTTAATGTGGTTTTACAATTGGAGGTGTCCTCCTTCCTGGGCTAGTCCAGTTGCCCTAACCTGTGGTAGAAGAGAGCTGGGCCCACTAACTGCAGTCACCCAGCCGCTCTCTGTGGGAAGGTGGCCCGTGGAAGGACGAATGTACTTGGAGAAGTAACTAACTAGCTGAGTGAACCCTCTTTTTTTTTTTAAGATTTATTTATTTATGCATACAAGAGCTGGGGCACAGGCCGGAGATGCGGGGGGTGAGAGGATTCACCAGTGACAGAGCGGGGAGCAGAACAGGCAGACTGACTGAAATACACTGCTAAGGGGAGCAACGGGCAGACAGGAGAGGTCAGCTTTGCCATGTGGGTTCCTCTCTGCCTGGCCAGGCATCGAACTCATGCTGCAGAGGCTGCAGATTACTTCATAGGCGTTGCTTAACTCCTTGCACCACCAGGGAGGCCCTGAACCCTCTTTTTGAGTGTTGGAATTTATAGACTGTTCCTCACAAGTATATTTCTTCCTTCTTTTTCAGGACTTTATGGACAGCAGCCTGCCAACCAAGTCATCATTCGTGAGCGGTATCGAGACAATGACAGTGATCTGGCGCTGGGCATGCTGGCGGGAGCAGCCACGGGAATGGCCTTAGGGTCTCTATTCTGGGTCTTTTAGAGTCCTTGGAGTCTAGATATGCATAGCTTCTTACACCTGTGTGCAATAATATAATTTGCAGGGCATTTTTGTTTGTTATAAATGTATTAAATAATAGTTTTAACAGTTCTTTTGATCATAGTGACATCATATCTAATCCACATTAGTACCACAGAGATGATTTTAGACTGCTGTTTAGCTAATATTGATCTATGAACTCTTTGAGGGCACTGGCTCATTTCCAGAATTCCCTTTATGGAACTCTCAGAATACCTTGCTTACTTGGACATGAACATCCCTGTTCAGAAAGGCATATTCTTCGAATTAGGTGTAGTGTTTAAGGAATAAGTTATTTTAGCTCTATGCTAGTAAATATGGTCATGTATGTGTGAGTGATTGTGGCACCTTCTTTCGGTTACTGGAAAACGTCCAAACCTTAGACCAGAGCTGCCTGTATTTGCTTTAGGAATCCTAGGCTGGTGAGCTACAGGGGAACTTCCTCAAGGCAGTGGCATGGTCCGTCCCCCTCCCCCGCTCCAGTTCCTCCTTTCTCCGCCTCCAGGCCTTACAGGTCTCCAGCAAGGCTGGCTGCCCAGGATGATGGTGGAGGGCATTCCTCCCCCTTTACACTGAAGCTTGTTCTTTTTCTTTCTTTTTTTAATATCCAAAAAGGTTAGGTTTAGTAGAAGACAAGAAGGGAGCGAAAGTTACTTTCCCAGGCACAGGCGGGCAGAAAGAGCTGCCTGAAGCTTGGCCTTTGTCTTCTTGATTGTTTATGGTAGCAGTCCTTGGAAAACATCACAAATTAAGGAATTTCTTTGAACCTCAAAGTTATGTGGGTTTTTTTTTGCAAATGTCTAGGTACCTAAAAAAATACTGATAGACACTGAGGAGAAAACCACCTCAGGATATAAAGGCAGATGTGCTGCAGGAGGGGTGACATAAGCTTATAGCAAATGTATATTGAAAATTTTTTTTTGAACCTCAAAGTTTCAGGACTTCATCCTTTAAACTTAAGGCAAAAACAATTACTGACAAGTCTGTGGAGGTAGATTTACTTTATTCAGAAACATATTTTTAGTGCCCACTCTGAGTGGGTTTATTGCCACCTAAGACTATTTAGAGCTATTTTTCTACTTTCTAGAAAGTGATATTGAAAAAGCGAGAGCCGTAGCCACAGTGTTGTGTTTGAGGCTTGCTGGGATCGCACATACAGAGGATACTCTTCTCTGGTCTTCTGAAGCAGGAGCTCTGTCCTATGTGGGATATGGGTGCTGTGACCTCTGGAGGGCTGGAGTGTGTGGCACCCCGAGGGAGGAGAGGGGCTGTGCACTGGGATCCATGGCTGTGAGAGGGGCTTGCCAATAGTTGGGAAATGAGGCCTAAGAGCAGGCATGGCATGCTTCAGATAGCACTCAGCCTGACCAGTCTTGTTTTTATTCTTGACCCAGATGTCACAGAGAAGCTTAAACTATTTAATTTGTGACCCAGCTCTGTGTGAAGCTCTAGAACCCCACTGTCCTGCCTTTCTTAATTCTTTATCCATGTGAATTTTTTAAGCTCCTAATTATTCCTCTTTTTTGTCCTGCACACTTTAAAAGAATATACTTTGACATTGGCAGTTAAGCACAGTGAAGTTCCATGCCCTATTTGCTGTGTGGCCCTGTTTTCATAAAACACACTCCAAGTAGTACAGATTTTTTTTTAACCTTTTAAAAGGACAGATTTATTAGGAAAAGGAGAAAGAAAAAGAGAGGCACCTGTATAGTGACAGGCAGAGAGCAGCAGCGCCAGTTTTGTTACCCTCTGTGGTGGTTACGCACAGACTCGTGTTTTGCTGGTCAGCTGTCTCCATCTCTGAGGCCAGTGCCAGGAATCCCAGTATTGGATGACCCTGCTAGTGTCCACAGGTCTGTTTGCCCAGCCAGTTCCAGTGGACTTGCTGGCCATGGAGTGTGTGTCTCCAGTTGAAAAGAGATACACGTTATTGCCATCTCTGGATGCTTGACATGGTGGAAAATTGTCAGATGGGGTGATACATGCCAACATTGGCTTTGATGCTTAAAAATGTTGCTCTTAGGGTTTTACATTCTGTGTAATAAGAATAATAAGACTGGCTTTGTTCAGATGGTAATTATTATTAAAGCTGTGTATGCTTTACTTAACAAAATATTAAACACAATTTTTAATGTTGCGCTGAGGTATAATTTTGAATGTGGGTTTATTGGAATATAGAGTGTTGAGATACGTCACTGAGATGCCCTTGAAGTGAACAGTTTTCCTGTGTTCCCCCCAGCTGCTCTCCGGCTGAAAGGGAGAGCTGTCACTGGAAGCTTGGCCCTGTCCCCAGTCCGGGGAGGGGTGGACGGGGGAGGAGTGAGAGGGGAGAGTCCTGTGGGCAAACCATAGCGGAGCTTGGAGATTCACCGGCAACTTGATCCTGATATGAAATGTGCACTGCTGTAAGATGGACTGAGGATTACATGGAGTAATGAGAAAGATGGGCTTCGTTTCCCTGGACCCAGTTCCTGGAGATATCAACCCTTGGACAGCCTCACTTAGGCAGTCCTGACCCAAGAGGTTAGCTGAGTTGGAAGGAACTTGTCTACGATGGAGAAAGCACTATACTTGATGTGTACCTCTAGATAATGTGCCTGGAAGAAGTTGACCACTGTTATTGTGCACATGGTGATCTGTGTTTTTTGTTTTTGAGCTCTGTTCTTTATTCCTGCAGGAATAGAAGAAAATTTTTTAGGGTTTACCCAGATAATCAAGGGAGTGGGGACACCAGTGGCTGTTTCAGATGATCGTTGGTCAGAAGGCCAGCCCAGAGCCCAAGGTCTGGATTATAAGAAGTTCTGCACTTGACAAAGACTGACCCAGGTTTATTTTCCACATCAGTTGTGATCCTGTATAATCTTTCTCCTTGAATTTATGTAGAGACAGGCGTGGAATACAGTCCACGTTTTCCTCCTAGAGCTGAGTTTTTTCCTGATGCTTCCCTGTCAAGTATCCTGTTGTGTCCACACAATCTATTTTTCCCCGTAATTGCAAATTACGCATTTATACATGAAAATGTTAATTCATTAAATGATTGTTAACCTTAAAGCTTATTTTACTGTGACTTCTGCTATCTGTTATATTGTCATATTATGTTATCTGTTATATTTTCCTGCTTTGTCCTGAGCAGTAAGAATGGGTGCAATTGAGCATCCCTCACTGCTCAGTCAAGACGTGGTCACATCAGAAAAATCACTAGATTCTTACAATAGCTCTGTCAGGTGGGTGTCCAGGTGTTGCTGGCTGGATGCTGGAGTCTCCGAAGTTACATGCTTTTCTCAGGACCATGCAGGTGGAAACTGAAACAGGTTCATATCTGATATTGAAAAACCTTTTTCTTCTTTACCATGTGCATATAATTCCCATAAGAATGTATGGATGTCATTTGTAGTCAGACTTTTAAGATCATTATTAGGAAACTGACTGTAACTTATTTGACCCAATCAACTTGATTGGTCAGTAACTTCCAGTGTCTTGGGGTACCTGACTCAATGTTTTAAAAAAAAAAACTTTTTTTTAAAGATTTGTTTATTTATTTATACAAGCACTGGGTACAGACAGAAGCACGGGAGGGTGAGAGAATTCACCAGAGCCAGAGCTGGAAACAGAACAGACAGAGTGACAAAGTACACTGCTAAGGGGAGCAGCGGGCGGCAGGAGAGGCCCGCACGCCATGTGGGACCCTCCTCCGGTGGCTGGGGAACAGCCGGGGATCGAACCGGTGCTGCAGAGGCTGCGGGCAGCTTCGTAACCCAGCGCTCAACCGCTGCACCACTGGGGAGGCCCATGTTTTTAAAAATTATTTTAATTTTCTTCTATTTCCTGAATTACCACGACTACCATGGTTTCCTCTGGTTCAGTTTTTGTCTGTCCTGCTGCAGTTTTATTAAATGGTGATGTGTGGGTTTCCTGCTGTGATGTAAGATGAGGAGTCTCATGGCTAGCAGCTCTCGCTTCTTGGTTTCATTTCTTTAAAGAAGAATCTAGGGTTTTCCTTGAGATGATTTCTGGGTGTGGGGGCGGGCAGACACTTCACAGGCGGACTCTGCAGCCCTCTCCCTTTCTAGACTGACATCGCCATCTCCCTTGGGCTAACTTTCCTTGCCGTCTCTTGCTTTTGTTTATTATTTTTAAAGATTTATTTTATTTATGCATACACGAACTGGGGTGCAGGCCATAAGTTGGGGGTGGTGTAAAGGATTCACCAGAGAGAGGGAGTGGGGAGCAGAACAGGCAGATCCACTGAAATACACTGCTGAGGGAAGCAGTGGGGAGTCAGGAGAGGTCTGCTGCGCCATGTGGGTAGCCCCCAGGCTGGGGATGGAACCCAGGCCGCAGCGGCTGCTGATTGTGCTGAGACTCCAACCCCTGCACTACCAGGGAGGCCCTCTGGCATTTACTTTTCAATTTAATTTATTGACTAGGTTATACGTAATACATAACTACAAAAGTTAGAAAAAGATTCAGTAAAAGGTTATCTGCTCACTTAACTACCTTAATCACTAATACTAGCTTATTTATCCTTCATGAGTTTCCTGTGCATGTATAAGTAGCACAAAGACTTATTTTTCTTCTTTTTTCACACAAAAGGGTATACTCTATACCCCAATTGTCTTCAAACTTTGGTCTGTCTCAGGGCCTATTTACACTATCAAACTTTTGAGGTCTCCGAAGAGCTTTTATAATGTGGGGGTTCTGCATATATTAGTCTTTACCATATCATTAGAAAATAAAATTTAGAAATTTCAAAAATAAAAGGAAAAAGAGTAACCCATTTAAAAAACATTTTCTAAAAACTATTTTTCAAAACAATTAGAAAATACTTCCTATTTGAAAAACTGACTTCTGGCTTCACAGAAGACAGCTAGTTTTCCTATCTGCTTCGCAGTCTGTGGTAATTTTTTTTGTTTGAAGTCTGGAAGAAAAGGATACCTCGTGTAGGTGTGTAGCTGGGTAGGGAAGATCCTAGCAAAACCCCTGAAGGATCTTGGGCACCGTGAGGGGTCCTTCCATCATAACTTGAAAACTACCGATGTTTCTTGTCCTATTCCTGCTTTTTTCCCCTACTCAAATGTCCCCATATTAGCACATAAAGGATCTCACCATTCATTTCATTTGCCCCATGATTTGTATGGTATCCTTTGGCTTTTGCGAACAATACCATAGTGAAGCATATGGTATAAAATTTACTCATCCTAGCGTTGAGTTCTTGAAGGTCTGGGACTGGGTGCCAAAGTTCCCTGGAGCAGAACTACCTCAAGCCTTCCTTGGTCTGTGCCTCTAGGACCACACTAACACCTTCCCGTGGAACCAGAGGTCACTGCAGGCCCAGGGCTGATGTGAGCTGCCTCAGACCTCAGAGGCTGGACACAAATGCTTCCTTTTTCAGTCCTGGTCCACTGTGCTGCCCATCAAGGGGAGGCTTCTGCACGCGGTCATTCAGGGCCACAGCTGTTTTCAGCAAATAGCTATAGAGGCCTCCCTGGGGACCTTGGTATCCTGCTGGAAGAGAAAACTGGGAGGACACCCACACTGGATGGTGGTGCTCAGACTTCTGCTTACATTCCAGCGGTGAGAGCCAGTTACGTGACCTGGCTTCCTGCTGGGGAATGGCATCAGAACTCGAGAGCTGCCCTGGCCATGACTGTTGGTGAACGCACAGGAATGGGAGGTAGTGACCATCAGCTTCTCGAAATACCCAGAGGACATCAGGTTTATGTTAATACTGGTTAAACATTAACCAATATTTATTGGTTAATAAAGTTGGTCATTGCAAATTACACAGAAGTTGTGCACAACGCAATTGTCATATGGTCAAAGGTTTTGTTACTGAATCCTTTCTTCCCTACTTACCAACCAATGGGTGGGTTTGGACCTAGAAAAGGATATTTCATTCCATGAAGGGATATCGTCATCTCTTCCTTTTGTTCTTTAATATATTAAAATCATTCATGCCATCAAATATTTACTGAGCATGTGAGGTTATATGAGTGTGCCTGACTGAGCCACTCCCCTGCGCAATGGCTGTACCTTCTCCCCATTGCTGTGATGCCTCGCCTGCTGGAGGGATGGACTTCAGCCTCCCTGGGGGGGTGTGGGTGGCCTGCTTTGACTTGAGAACATTGAGGTCTGAACTCTGGTGCTGGGTGCTGATGAGAAATGCATATTCCTGGGACTCCCAGGTGCTAAGAGCGGGCTGGAGTCTTTCCACCATCCTTCAAGGGGTTCTGTTCAGCCTGGACTTCGCTGATCCTGGCTTCCCCAAGCCCTGCTGTCCTGTTCTGTGCCTGTTGACAGCTCAGCACAGGTGGGAGGTGAGGCAGGGGCCAGACACTAGCTTTGCGGGCTCTCCTTGGCCATTTTTCTGCCTGTCAAGTGGGAAGTCAGGTTGAACACACTTCTCTCTGGGCCACAGGATGGTTGCAGCTCTGTCATCAGGATGACATTTCTCAAACAGGGTTGTTTCGCAGTGGGCAGTGAGCCGAGGTGCTCCTCAGCAGCCTCTAAGGCAGGGCCTACCTGTCACAGCGGTGATTGGTTGAAGACCATGAGAGGGCCTCAAAGACATGGAAGGCTGGAGGATTGAGGCCTTGTGTCCCTGAGGGGAGGTGTCCCCATGAGGCTACCTATAGAGACTGTTCACCACAGTTCCCACCTGGAGGGGAAGTTTAGGAGGGAGCTGCAGGGAAGGCTCTACAGGGAACCACAGGGAGGACTATGGGAAAATGCCCGTGGCCCTCACCGAGTCTCAGCTGCCTGGTGGGTGTAATAATGCCAGTGCCGCCAGCAGACACAGGCCGGAGCATAGACAGTCCTCCACTCCTGTCTTCTCCCGAGTGGGGGCGAGACTGCCAGCAGCCCAGGAGCTTAGAGAAAGGTGGATTCTCTGGCCCAGCCCAGACTGTGCGAATCAGCAACTCAGTCCTAAGGTTAAAGTCTAGAATAGTCTCCTTTCCTCTTCTCGCATCCTCTCTCTCCCATTGTCCCTGTCCCTGGCTCCTTACGCTTTAACACTCCATCTTCCTCTCTTTCTCTGTCTCTGATCTACAGCCCCAGCCCTCTGGGGAGTAACTCACCTCCTGAGTGGCAGCTTCTGAGAGTTGCCACTGGGTGTCAGAGCTGCCCTAGGAATGTCCCTGCTCCCTGCCCCTGCTGCAGCCAGCCCGTCTCTGCCCCTTCTCCCAGGGCACTCCAGGTCAGCGCAAAAGCCTGGGCGCCCTGTTTCTGTTCCCTGGCCACTGCCTGGGTTGTGGTACCTGCTCCATGTCTCACAATCCCCCGTCTGCCCTGGCCTTTCAGGACCCAGCAAAAGCCCTAGATGAGTAGGGGCATGCTGAAGGTCACCCATGAGCCTCAGGATGGGGTGTGTTCCCTGTCCCTTCCCAACTGACACATCTGTAGGACCTGCATGGTGGGGGCCAGGCTACCCCCAGTATCCTGTGCCCTCAGAGGGGGTGTGGGGGAGGTGAGGAAAAAGGGAGAAATCCGCCTTCCCCTTGTGGACTAAAATAACCACTGCTGTGAAGTGAATTCAAAGTTCAATAAAAGATTTATTAAAGAAGTTTCTCAGCACTCACCTGAGGACCCAAACCCCAGAGTTTTGGGCCTCAGTTTACACAGATAAGTTACATGCAGGGAAAGAATATATAATTATTTTTTCTTAACAAAGGAAAGAAAACATCTAGTTAATTTCTTCCATTTTCAGATAGCTAAAGGAGTAAAACTTAGTTTACTGATTAAGGCGAAGCAGTGTTCATAAGTTCAAAGCTGCTCTGTGATCTCACCAGAGCTGGTTCAGTCAGAGCTGTCAGTGTTGGGAAGATATAAGGCCCCAAAGTGACTTGAATATCTCTTTTATCTTAAACGTACCCCTGTAGACAGGAGGGTAAAGGCAGGCCATTGTCTCTGTCCCTTCCTGCTCCAGCTTCCTGCCATCCAGACTGTGCTCTCGTGCCCTCCTACCTCTTCTGCCAGGTGCACCCTGGGCTGCCTGTCCTGGCCCTGGTCAGCTTTGCTCCTCCCTCCACAAAACTGGCAGGCAGCCAGGCGTGTCCTCTGGAACACCCACCGCCAGGCTGTGCTGCAGTCCCTGCCGCGCTTGACCCATGCAAGCCCTGCTCGTGGCTCCAGGCCAGAGCCCACCCACGCGCTCAGCACAGGTCTGTGTCCTGCTTCGTGCCAGGTCCCAGGGCTGGGGCGGAGCAGGCAAGGTCACTGCCAGGTGGAGTCCATGAGGAATCAGCAACCCCCCTGACTCTGTGGGCACTTGACTGGTGGGGTGGGGTGTTCTGGGCTTCTAGACAGGGAACCTGTTCATGGGGACTGATGAGCAGGGCAGGATGCAGAACAGGGTGGGTGGGTGGGAACTGGAGACTGGGGTGGTGCCAGGGTGACCTTAGGTGGTCCTGGGGACACATAACTTGGAAACAGTAAATAGTGCAGTATGAACAATAGTTATGTGTTACAGTTAATTTTCGACAAATTAATGG